CTCACAGAGTTGTTGTGGGGAAAATAGGAGAAGGAAGTTGTGTTGAATATGTTCGCTGCCTTGATTTATTGTAAAAATAATAAAGGTAAGATACATATTAAATAAATCAATACAGCAACTGATAGTGTGCATTTCTGATTTGAATAAATTCCAAATCAAATACTGGTTTAAATAATTAATAACAGCATGTAACAACAGTAATAGAGATTATATCTAAAAAAAATCCTTTTAAGGTATTGTAACAGAATTTCAAATAAAATGGTTAAGACAACAAGAATAAAAGCACTAATAATTTCAGACAAACATCTCACAGAGTAAAATTGTTTTGACCTTATAAAATGCGAGGAGGATGGGAGCTGCACATACTTCCATGGGAGAAAATCCTGTGTGAATTTAGTTTTATTTTAAAAACAAAATTATTTTAAAGCTCGTCTATTTAAGCTTATATATTTGTATGAAAAATACATGGTAATAAATCTCAAAACTAATTATTTATTTAGCTGTGTCATGGTAAAAATAATGTAGAATCATCCAGCGCTATCTTGTAAACTGATTCTGCTTATCTGCTATAATGATTGTACAGCTTGGTTTTAATTAGAACTGACAGAATTTATCTCTCAAGTAGCAGAATCAGCATACAGCATTCACATTCTTCCACACAAATGTCCTGTCGTTTACAGATAAGATAGTAGAGTATCAACATATGTTTAATCAAGAGATTTCTCTATCCAATAAGGTCTGAATTCTAATAGTTCAAACTAAATACTGGTTCAATTCATTATTTCACATAGGTTGCCAATTCTGGGATTATTTATTCTTGGATATCCTAGAACTTACCAAATCACTCATTTAATTGGTCACTCATTTTGATTTTAAGAAACTTTGAAATTAGGCTTTCCAATCAGGAAATTTAGTCTTCTTTGTAGAAATAAAATGCACAAAATGACAGTCTCAAATTCAGAACATCAGCAAATTAGTAGACATAATCTAAATGCAATAGTTATAGGTAGTCCTCAACTTACGCCCATAATTTGTTCCTAAATGAGACATTTGTTAAGTGAATTTTGCCCCCATTTTACAGCCTTTCTTGCCCCAGCTGTTAAGTGAATCACTGCAGTTGTTAAGTTATTGACATGGTTGTTAAATGAATCTGGCTTCCCCATTGCTTGTCAGGAGGTCGCAAAAGGTGATCACCATGACCCCAGAGCACTGCAACCGTCATAAATATGAATCAGTTGCCAAGCAGCTGAATTTTGATCATATGACTATAGGGATGCTACAATGGTTGTAAGTGTAAAAAAGGGTCATAAGTCACTTTTTTTCAGTGCCATTGTTAACTTCAAATGGTCATTAACTGTTGTAAGCCGAGGACTACCTGTACTACATTGCAGAGTATAACCTAAATATTGTCAGCAGTATACAACTTGAGTATACTTAAATAAAATATGGATGGAAATGAAAAACAGGCAAATATTAAAAAAAACATTTTAAATAGCAGTATTCAATATTGATTACTGAAACAATGGTTTGTCAAGTCTACACTGCAAAATAACTCACGAAACAGCAACCTTGCTCACTTAATATGATTCTGTGATCTAGTCTTGTGCTATTACTTATTCACAAACATTCCTAACAACCCTCAAACAAATTAGCTATGAAACATGAGATTGAGGAACAGGAAGCAAATAGAACAGAGGCATACAGCACAGAAATACTGAGCAGGATTATAAAGAATTTTTAGAATGCAGGGCCTAATTATCAGGTCCCATCCTGAGAACTGTGCAGATTTGAATTTATGAAGATAAAATTCAATGTGTTTTAAGTACTACAGCTTGGGATTTTCTGGTGGTCTCCTAGCCAAGCAGTAGCATAGTGTGCCAGGAGACCATTTAGCTTTCTAATATTAATCAAAACTGGCTACAAATTGCTATGCAACTGTGCCTTTACATGTAAACAAGTTGTTAAAATGTAAGTCTTCTAAGTAAAACAGGCAAAAAATTACTGGACTTGAACTGAAGTAATATTGTGACTTACAATGAAAACCGAAACATTTTTTTGCAGAAGCACATTTGTAGCCACAAAGTTATAAACAGGACTAGGAAGTAGATGAAAGCTTATAAAAGCTGAGTAAAGTAAATCTGCTTTTTTCTTTACCAGTTTCATCATTTCTCCCCAAAATATTGTCCATATTAGATAAATGATACTAAATAGTGTAACCTAATAGTATAGATACCTGAAATTTGTAAAAATTGCCAAATTCAAGTATTATACAATTTTAATACTTCAGTGTTTTCATATTTGAAAACTTTATTTCCTTCCTGATTAACTAGAAATGGCATTGCTACTCCTCATATTTTCTAACATGTTCTTGATCCTAGAAAATGCATAGCAAGCATTCACTAATACATGTGGAGAAAGAAATATTATATTTCTTAAGTGGTAAAATCAATGATGATTTACAATATGCAGTTATTTTGTTGTACCAGCAAATTTCCAAATATAAGCCTCCACATAAGGATATTTATTTTACAGTATTCCATTTTGTCATGCTACTGTAGATATAGTTTTCCTCCAATTAAATCCTCGGCCACTATAGAAGAAAAATCTAGTCAAGATCTGCTGAAAGAAAAAAACTTATAAGTAAACATATTGTGTGTATGCAACATACACTATCATATTTGTATAATTTTTAAAATAAGTACTAAAGATCTAAATCAGGCATGTCAAACTGCCAGCCCATAGGCCGGATGCGTCACGCCGAAACCGCACCCACCCCATTGCCAGCAATGGGGAAAAAGTCGCGATGTGACGTCACGAGTTTGACATGCCTGATCTAAATACAAGACCTCTTGCCCTAGAATTATAATCTATAATGGCTAAATATCACTCTAAAGAGTATCAAAATTTAACACTGACAAAAAGCAATTTTATTCACTGTAATCCCAGCAACTTTTTTCCAGTGATACTGGAATTACTATAAGTAATTCTATTTATAACTGATCAGTTATTTTTTTATAGAAGAGCTTCAACTCAACTGTAGCTACAACCTAGTCATACATAACAAGTGATGGTTCTAAAAATACACAAAGTCATTAATCATAACACAAAAGTGCACACCTGCATTAACAACACACATACTATTCACAAAAACAATTTCCTTTTCTGAGTTGGACAAGGAAGAATGATAGAATTGGAAAACTAATCTAATACCTAAAATGAAAATTCCCATACTTTTGCAAATGTATTATCCCTTAATACTTTACTTAAAACATTTCAGAAAATAATGACATGGAAATCCCAGAAAGACATAGTTGTTTCATTATATAGAACTGAGGCTTACATAGACTCCAGATTAGGAAAATTACCTATATATCTATTTTGGAAATCTATTTCAATATTTGAAATTCAAATATTAGATTGTTGCAATATACTTAGGACTGTAACTGAAAATCTTGATTTGAAAAAAAAAAGCAGGAAGCTTAGAATGAAACGTTATTTATTCAGAGTTTTAACTAAAGAGCATACTTGGGATTAAAGAATATATAAGAATATAATTGTTTCTATACTGAAGTTCGTTTCAGCATCTTGTATATTAGCACTCTTTAAAGCTCATTGTTAAAAAAAGACAAAGTAAACAGTAAGAGTTCTTTTCCCCCATCCATTTCGTGTCCTTTTTCCCAAGAGAAAGACACAGATTTACTCCCATAAATTTTGTTTTTTCCAAAATTAGACACAATGAATTCAAAAAGCAATGTTTGTTTGAACCAAATTTTGTGAATTGTGCTAGTACCTAGTACCGGTAAGAATTTCATTCACCCCTTATCGCCCTTATCGCAAGTACCATTATACCTCTACATTCCACACTATGTAAACACCGGCTAGACTTTAGTGCTGCTTCACACACACTGCTCATCAACCTGATGGATACATTACTTCCATTTATTGTCTCATATTACCTTAATGCTTGTAAGATGAAAGCAGCTCATTTAGCAAATTTCTGAGTTATGAGACATCAAGCACTTTAAGTATGGATGTCTGAATTACCCATAAAACCTCTAAGGGATGAATTGGAAGAATGGGACCCTAGAATACTTCAGAACAATATACTAACACAAAACAATTCCAGTATAAAGAAAAACTGAGAAATCATGGGAAATGACTTATTTAAGTAATAAGAGGCACACGTGCAGCAAGGAAATCGCTGAGCCTGTAACTTAAGCGGCTTGCAAACCCACAACATTCGTGGCACGGACGAATCCTACACAACCGAAGCTTTTTGAAATGAGCGTTCGTTCACCCCATAAATCCAAAACCTACTTAACTGGATTTAAAAGCAGAAGAGGGACCCGATCTTCCCCAGGCCCACCATTAGCATGATTAGGGTTCATTATTAGTTACAGAAAGAAGTAATCAGGGATGAAGTGGCCCAATCCCAAATATGGGTTCATCCCAGCCATGAAAAAGCATCTCACGAACATCATTAAAGGAATGATCCCAACGGCCCTCGAGGCACGATGGCCGCCCATCCCGGGCCTCCGCGTTTGCTGACCTTATTAGTAAATCGCCGGGAAAACGGCGATTTATTTATTTATTTATTTTATTTAATTAATTTATTTATTTTATTTAAACGGTGGCGAAGGGGCCAAAATCCGCCTCGCACAGCCCTTACCGGCATCCTCTCCCCTTTCGGCCCTCTCCCCCCTCCCCAATTTTCCTCTCCCCCCTCCCCAATTTTATTTCTCCATCCTCCTCCATCTCCCTTCCTTGATCTACCCTCCGAAGAGCCAAAGAGGGGTTCCCAAGTCCCTCATGGGAGAAATCCCCACCGCCTTTGGGGCTTCCTTCCCGTTCCTTCTGGTCCTCTGCCGCCACGTGGAGCTGAATAGGCTCCTCCAGGAGAATCTGGGACTCTCCGTGCAAACCGGCCAACCGCCGCCCCCACCCCGCTTGGCCGGCTACGCCAGCCGAGCCGAGCCGAGCCAAGCCAAGCCAAGCCATACCTGTTGCAAGCAGCGAGCCAGACACGCGGCGCTTCTCCCCCCCAGTCGCTCTCCAGCCCTCGACTCGCAGGCGCTCCCGCCCCCTCACGCACTATAACGGGCAGAAGAGGGCGGAGCTAAGCTGTGAAAGGGCGGGCTTCTTTAGGCCCGGAGACTGACGGAGTAGCCGCTTCTTCTACCCCCCCCCCCTTTCCGCAGTGGGTTCGGCTTCCATTGGAGAGAGGCACCTTGGAGGAGACGCGGGAAGTAAGCTTTTCAAGAGGTCAGGGAGGACGACGCTTTCCGCACGTAGCTATGAGAGCGAGAGGAGTTGGTGATCCTTTGGTTAGAAGCGGAAAGCCAGCTGCCTAAGAAGAGGGGGGCATCCCTACTTTCCCGTCCCGCGTCACTCTCAGCTGCCCAAGGGCAAATATCCTTCCAAGTTACTTTGCACAAGACCCGTGCTTCATTAAATTCTGACCTCCGACTCGACGCTTACACAGCGTTTTATGGTTTTCTCAGAATCACCTTTAGCACTCAAAAACAGGTCGTGGGGAATATCTTGACTCAGAATAAACGGCCACTCCTTGACCTTTACAACTTGGCAAAGAGTTTTCTTCCAATTAAGATGCATTACTCTTTGCTGCTGCAAAAAGATAAAGCCTTGAGAAAAAAAAAACTCTTTAGTCTAATTTGCAAACGTTGTGGCCTACGTGCATACAAAATCTACGTTCTTCTTTAAAAAAAAAAACCCAGGAACAATCCCAAATTTTATTTCTGTGGAATAAAGCTTATGGAGCAGAGTAGTCTTTGTCTCTGTAGTAAGCATGCTTATGGCTGCTCTATTAGCAATGAGGATATTAACCATATTGGTGCTAGATTCGATTTTTAGTTGTGCATTCAGACTCTTCTTACCTCAAAACAAAGACAGAGACCTGCATCTCTGATTATAGGTAAAGTTGTGTTGAATGCCTGGTGATTTCACCAACAATCCATGCATTTTTAGTAACAGGAAGGAGTTGCCCTTACTGTACTTTCTTCAGTCTCAGAAAAACAGAAATCAAATGGACAATCTATTTGCTGTTCTGATCTCTTTCCAGTCATGTGATGGATGGTCCTCTACCTTATAATATGTTTGTTTGCATTGTGTTGTTCTCATACAAATATGTTGTTTACAGTTTTATATTTTTTAACCACCCATCTCCCTCAGAGAAAGGCTCTGGGCTGTGTATAATATAATCAATAAAATTAACATTAAAATCAGAATTAAGATTAAAAAGGTTTAAAATTATAAAAATAACATAAAATGTCAAATGGTGAAAAAATTCCTGATGGGAGATGGGTGGTGTTGGGGGATCTCATCAAGCCAGCTAACCGCACAGTTGTGTGGGACACAAGGCCACGCAGGCAAGTTTTGACCCCTTTGCGGAAGGCCAAGAGATTGGGGGTTTCCTCACCTCTGGGGTCAGGATGTTCCACAAAGAACAGGCAGTGGAGAGAAGATTCTCTTCCTAACCCCCACCAGGTGAAATTCTTGAGGAAGTCTGCAGCATACCTCCCCTGCTGGAATGGGTGGCTGTGACAGGGTGTAGCCAGTTCTATAGGTAGCCTAGCCATATGCCATGTAGGACTTTAATGATGACTAAAACCTATAAATTGGACCTGGAAGCACACTGCCTACAGTTGCTGATAGATAGATAGATAGATAGATAGATAGATAGATAGATAGATAGATAGATAGATAGATAGATAGATAGATAGATAGATAGATAGATAGATGATAGATAGATAGATAGATAGATAGATAGATGATAGATAGAAGAAATCCCTTAATATTCTATGACTGTTAGTACCATATTTGTATCATTTCTCTGGAGGTCTATGGAATATGATTGCCATCTGCAAGTTTTTAGCATCTGGATTAGGGAAGCTTACAGCAGAATCAAATCTTAAAACACTTTCAAAAGGCCACAAGATTGGGGACCCAACAATATTGTGTTCAATAGGCCTTACTAATAGAATAAAAATGCCTGTAATAAACTCCAGAATGCCAGAGTCATAAATTGAGATGAAATAGTTGATGTTTGTATGATTTTATTGTAGAGTAACATTCTACAATAGTATTCAAGAATATTCCTTGTGAATATGGTAAAGCTGAAATTTATACAACTGTTCCTGTGTCCAGTTAATGAATTTTACTAACAGTGCAGATTAGTGGAGAATACATTTATAAATCTGCATGTGAAATAGACATTATGCATGTTAAATTAAATTACTCCAAAACAATAAATTGATTTGGAAATGCCCATGCTATTGCATTGTTTTATTTTCATTTTATCAAATCTTTTAACCGGCTAATTATATATAGTGTATGTTATCTATATCTATAGATAGATATACATTGGCAGACAGAAAAACTTGATAAAGGTTCCCATGGATTGATAGGCTGCTACTGATAATTCAGTTTATAATATTCATATCATGTGCATAATTGCACTACTGGATATATTCCAATAAATATTATTATTATAAAGTTTAGATTTTATTAAACTTAAAAACATAGTGGAAAAGGTACTAAGCATGCAGCTATTTTTACACTTCAGACTTTGCACACTTGGAAGGAAGTCTCACAACTCTCATAGTCATTCATAAAGTTACTATGCAGTGAGTATTTGCATCCTCAAAATGCTAAGCATTTGCATTGAAATAATCCATTTTCAAGCTCAGGAACAGTGCAAAGTGTGGGTATTCTTAGGTATATTACTTAAAAGAAAAAACATCAAAGTTTCCAATATGACCTACCTCCTACCTGCATACACAAAAGCCTGGACACGTTCCAGACCAACATCCCTTATCAAAACCTGAGATATATTAGAGTAGCAAAGTAACACTAAGCCATTATCTGCCTAACTATGATCTACTGAATAACTATAACTGCGTTCTTACAATATTTCTCCAAAGAATAAACACAAATATTGGCACTTATAGTTAGCCGTGACTTGACAGTAAATAAGAATCCAAGTGTATTTTTGAGATGCATTAAAAGATTGTCAAAGGATTGTTGCCATATGCTTTTCTCTAAATAATAATGATTAAAATAATGTTTTTTTTCTTAGTTCACCTGTCATTGTAACCTGAAATTAGTTAAGACAGATCCAGTTTCCTTTTTTCAAGGACAAATCTTTACTATCTAGTGATTTGCTCTAGGTAGAAAGAAAGATGGAACAAAGCTGTTGTGATAGGAAACAGATCTCCTGTCAGATCAAAGGGAAAAATCATTTCTGCAGTAGGACTGAGCACTCCAAGTACGCTTGATAAATGTTAAGGCACTTAATGATGCAGAGAACAAACCCTAAAGCTTATGCATTGCACAATATCATAATTCGAATCCATGGGTTTATTGCGCCTTTCCGCCAATATTGTCTTTTGGAGACTCGGCATCTTTTTTGATAAGATTTTTGGAAGTGCTTCCTTCCAAGGGCTGAAAGAGAGGTACTGGCCCAAAGTTATTCAGCTTGCTTCATGCCTAAGGCAGGATGAGGACTAACACTGTCCTGCTTTTTAGCCTTGTGCCTTACTACTACTACACTTACTACTATACCAAACTGGCTCTCAATCCATGGATTAGAGCTATTTTATTCTTAAAATAACACTAAATGTAGACTTTGAATGTGATAGTGCTACAACCATGTATGTCTGAAAGTAAATCTTTTTGGGAGCTTTCTCCCCACTTCACATGTGATACTGTTGTCTATAGTACCTCAGGAAAAAGCAAACCTAAATAGCAGAAATACAGATGGTCCTTGTTAACAACCATTTGCTCAGTGATCATGCAAATTTACCACTGCACTGAACAAGTGGTAGTTATGACCAAACTTCATACTTAGGATGTTGCAGCTTCCTGCAGTCACATCATCGCAATGTGCAACTTTCTACAATGCCAGTGGGGAAGCTGACAGGAAGTCAAGCTGTGGTCATTATGAAGTCTTCGCTTAGCAACCCATGTGGTCCTTGTTTAATGATAGCAACTGAGACTACTAGCATTGTGATTGCTAAGTGGCATAGTCACATGGTTTTTCAACTTAACATACACATCACTTGATGAAGTTTTCAGTCCCAATTAGATTCATTAAACAAAGATCACTTGTATATTTAGAAAATAATGGAACATAAATCCAAAACACCATTATTCAAATAAAGAAGACATAAAGAATTATTTAAAAGTCCCATAAAACCTTCAGCAATAGTGTGTAGCCATTATTTGAGCTGAAAACTATAAATAATACATTCAGAATATACTTTCATAAATTGACATTTAACTCTAAAGAAGTGTCCCTTTGGAAAAGTATTACTTTATCAGCATAAATGTTCAGGAACTTTGTAGATTTAATGTCAATACTTTTGGGACGGTTTTCTTTTTAAGAATGTTTTTAATTACTTCAATTAACAATCACCTGCAAAATGATTGATAGTTTTTTAAAAAAAGAGACCGTGTCTACTTCTGTGTTCAAAGGTTAAAAATTCTGGATTTTAGTGTTAATAAGATTAGAAAAGTGGGCATTTACTTTTTAAAATGATCGATTAAACACAGAGTAGTGCTTAAAAGTTTGTGAATTCTTTGAATTCTCAATATTTGTGCATAAACATGGCATATGTGATCTGTTCTCCATACAAGTTCTAAAATTAGATAAAGAAACCAAATTAAACAGATGATTAAAAAACATTAAGCCTAATCCTAACATTATACTTGTTCCTTGATTTATCGAGGAAAATTGTTCAAAGCTACATATTTAAAGCACACTATACTGGTAGGCCTCCAGCTGGTTTAAGTTCTTTCCCCATCATGTGCCTGTGATTTACCTACTAACACTCATGCAATTTAACTTGGATTTGAAGTTAATATTTGTTTCTTCATTAGGCATAATCTTTCAACATTCTCATGCTCATTAGATTAGTAAATTCATTATCTCAGTGCAGTAGAAATCAAGATAAGATTGAACTTGTCATTAGAAGGAATGAGGTGGAGAAGAAAACCAGGACTT